AGAGAGAGAGAGAGAGAGAGAGAATTGGGAGCTGTCAGTTTCGCGACGATGCGCGTGATGAATAATGTTGCGGTGTTCGAATTTATAAACACGTACGTCTATTCATTCGAGTGAGCGCTAGTTTCGTTTTGAATGTTTCCTAGAGGGGGGGAGAGGGGAAGGAAACGTTCAATCGAAATAATAATCGCCTCCGATTATCCAAATTTCCTGGGGGGCTGGTATAATTATGCAAATTAGAACAGAATTTATCGCGCGGTATCAGCGAGATAAATATTTCTATTATCCGTGGTTGATGGCCTTGCTACAACGGGATACAGGTTAAATTATCGCGTCAGCTAGTTGTATGAATGCTTTATTACCGTGCATTATACGCAAGATTTCTAGTCTGGAAGGATTTAATCTCGTTGAAATTTAAATTTTTTTCCAAAAGCTTTTGCAAAATTTCACCTTTAATTCGTGCAAAAATTGTGTTTTGGTATGTTTCAGATTTTTTGAAATTAAACGAAGAGATCGCAAATAGAGTTTAGTGATAAATATATATATATATATTGAATATTCGATATAAAAAATCATATATATACTCGAGTAATATATTCGATAAAGTTTGCAGTGGAATAAAATAGAATCATTAAAAAAAGAAGCATTTCGGTAAAGAAAAAGTCATAAAACACTGAAGCTTTTCCTTAAGTATTATTGCTACAATCAAATACATTTTATTTATATTTATTACACACACGAAATTTATACTCGTATATCACATAAATAGTAAATCTTTTTTTTATTGAAGAAAGAAAAAGCCATAAAATAAAACTTTCCTTTAAGCTCTGTCGATATAATCGCACATCAAACTTATCTATATCCATATATAAACAAAAATATTCTTTTAACGAGAAAAGAAAAAGGCCATAAAATACTTGAAACTACTTTTTGATCAATATTGACATAAAAGGAAGCGTAGAAATAAAGACGAAATGATTACATATTGTCCAATCACACATCAAACTCATGCACACATAAGAAAAAGCATTCTCTCGACGAGAAAAGAAAAATTCATAAAATACTATTCTTCGATCCAGTGTTGACACGAGGGGAAACCGTAAAAATAAAGATGAAATAATTGTCCAGACGGTACGATCGCACACCAAACTTATCCACACGACACATATAAACGAAAGCATTCTCTCGACGAGAAAAGGAAAAAAAAAATCCATAAAATACTGGAAACTACTCTTTGACCAGTGTTGATACAAAGACAGGAGAAGGGGGGAGCCATAGAAATAAAGATAAAATAATTGTCCAGACGGTACGATCGCACACCAAACTTATCCACACGACACATATAAACAAAAGGATTCTCTCTCGACGGGAAAAAAAAAAAAATCCATAAAATACTGAAACTACTCTTTGACCAATGTTGACACAAGGGGGAGCCATAGAAATAAAGATGAAATGATTGCAGGTTGTCCAGGCGGCACCGGTCCCCGTACCTGTCCAGGTACGTAGCAAGAACGATGGCTCGGGGGTGGTGGCAGCGTCCGTGTCGGGGGTACGGAGACGAAGCGGCTCCCAGGGTTTACGATCGCCCGCCGCCAAGAGGCCACTCTCCGCCCCCGTGGCTCTTCAGGGATGGCTACACAAACAGGGATCCGAGGGGCTGATGCTCTGGAAGAAACGGTGGTTCGTCCTCTCCGAGTACTGCCTCTTTTATTACAAAGGTTAGACCTCCTCCCTCGTTTTCCTCTCACTGAAATTACGTGTCGCCTTGTATCTCTTTCTTCAAAAGATTTTTCCATCTCTTTCTCTCTCTCTCTCTCTCTTTCTCTATTTATCTATCTTTCTTTATATGAATCTCTTTCTTCCTTTTGCTTTCTTGTTTTCTCTCTCTCTCTCTCTCTCTCGAATGACACAAGGCACCAGTTCTCGACATGCGACTCGTAATTCTAGTGGTTTCATTCACGAGAATACCTATTTTTTTCTCTCTTTTGTTTACTTTTTTTCTTTTTTGTTTATATTTTTCTTTCCATTTTTATTTTCTTTCACGTTCTATTCAGCCGTAATTTTAAAATTGAATGAGGAAAATTTCTTTTCTCGCTGAGCGGAGAAAATACGTACAAGTTTTAAGCAAAATATTACTTTTAATGAAAATTGTTAAATTGTTCTCCCAGCCTGCGAAATTATCGATACGAGTAAAGTAGTACTAGTCGATTATTGATCGGCCCAGTCTCTTCCAGTTTGATGATCTTCGGATTTAATTTTTTTCTCTTGTTGTTTTCTCATCGTCGTTTAATTTATCTTCCATATAGCTTTTACCATCTCCGCTCAGGAAAAATTCGTGTTTCGATAAGAGAGAAGTCGACAATTTTTCTTTCTCCGTTGGCCACGCGTAGACTTTTGGCTCGGCTTCAACTCTCTCCCAGCCGGCCGTTCCCTCCCCCCTCTCCTCCCTCCCTGTTTCTCGCCATCATACTCCACCAATTTTACGTTCGTCGAACTACTTCTCTCCTACTTTTCAGGTTTAACTCGCTTCCACGGGAACACTAATTACTACGAGTTCTTCAATTTCGTGGGTACTTACTTCCCACCTCTTTTCATTCCTTTTCTTTCACTCGCGTTTTTTCCACTCTCCTCGAGTGGAATAGAAATTATGAATCGAAATTATCGAAATTATTATTTCTGTTTTATCCATCGAGTTCCTTTTTCGCGATAAAAATATCGATGTATTTATTATTTTATTTAACTTCGTATTAAACTTCGATTCAAAATATTCGCATCTTTTTTCGAAAGCTGTGATATTTTTTTTTTTTTTTTCCAAAGAATTTCATTCCGCCAATTCATAAACGTAATTTTCGTAATTTTCATCAGCGTGAAGTTTTTCTTTCGTGGAACGGAACGAAACGGAACGGAATGGAATGGAATGGAATGGAATGGAATGAAATGGAACCAACCTTCATTCGCGTGACTCCGCGTTGTTAATTAACGCGATATTCCGCGACGCACGCACAATGGAAACAATGTGCGTCTGGCTCATTATTTTCCTGTATAAATTAGTTAACCGGTTGCGTTTTCCCTCCGCCTAAGCGTGAACTCTCTCGGCTTAACAAGGATTTTAATATTCGCGCGTTAAATATCAATGGCCGGTGATGAAAGGCGTTAAAGGCTTGTTTCCATTATTAAGCGAGCACGCTTATGCTCATCGACCATTGTCACCTTGGTTGATGACGACGATGTTTTCGATCGTTGTAACGAGATTTTCTTCCTCGTGAATAATTTGTCGTTTAATCGATTGTGGATTTTTATTCGCTCGTGAATCGGTGAAAAGAAAAATTAATCGATTCGCGCGTCCAACACTTGTTATTTATCGTACATCAATTTTACGCCTACGTAATATTAATCGCGCAAGATTAATTCGGTTACGCGATGAGTAAAGATTGTCCCCTTGGGTTGAAGAGACACGAGCTTATTTCTATGCTTATGGTTATCGAATAATTGTATATAATCTCACGTAATTTATGATATATTCAATAATAAAAA